TCTACACACTATATTAATATTCACTTATTCAGTCAATGATCACATTAACTTCCTACTCACACGCAATCTACATACTCCACACAACACTATTTTTTGCTTCCCTATAACGAATACACCAAATCTGAAGTTTCTTGTTTTGCTGAGCACTAATATGACACTTCTATTTTTTCAGTCAGTTTCATTCCGTGAACAATCTGTCCGCTGTTTTCTTCATCTCTTCTGTACGTCTTGATGGTCTTCATTTTTTCTTCATTAAAAATTCTCTGGTCTGTTTCAGATACGATAGGTGTTCAGCGAAGTGATTCATTCGTGTCGTGTGACCTATTCATTTCACTTCACTTCACTTTAAATGTTGAGTGATTTTCTTGTAGTCTTCTTTCTTTTCTTGCCTTTATATTCCTCGTAGCCTTTTCGGTTCTTCAGCTACCTTTCAATTTTGTATTTTCTGCTGTATTTTATTTTTAATTGTTTATTCGTTACTTTTTTGATTATTTGTTGGAATTTACGTTAGAATTTACATTGTGAGTATACAGCCGTTTAAATTTTCTTTTTCTTTTCTGAATAACAGGAATTCTATAACTTTTTCATGTTTAAGTTGTTCTTTAGCAATTGCTATCTTAGACGTTTTTAATAATTTGATTCTAAATTCATTCTTTAATATGGTTTTTGTACTGATGTATAAATTAAGGCTGATGTAAAATATTTTCCGTTTATTGGAGTAAAGAAGTACCAAATATTTACTTCCTGAAGTTGAAATTTTCGAGTTCATAAAATTGAACCCTAGGGGCGTGAAATGAGTGCACCAAATTGAATTAATGGAATGTAATATTAGCTATTTGGAGACGCAAGGATTTCAAGAAAATGTTTCTAATCACAGGATAAATAATTCAAGAAGAAAATCGCTATATCTTATATTGTCGATTAGCATGCATTGTTTTGACCAGAAATTACCTTCAAGGTCGTAATACTTGTCAATTTTACTGACGTTTTTACAAATTTTAAAGACGTTTTAGAAAATGGCAAACTAAAATAAGTCGCGAAGGGAGTTCCGCTTTTACCGACGTAAAAAATCAAGTATAATAGATGCTGGTTAATATATTACTGGTGTTTACACCTTTTATTTTAATCAAAATGACCTAGTATACATGCATTTCATGTATGTCCTGCGTATGTTGATGTACGCAAGTGGAACATTACTTTTAGAAAAAAACAAAACAAAAATCACTGGGAATATCAAAAATCTTCATACAACCAGCTTATCAAAATAGCCTGTAAAGCCCCCAAGGTTAATTTTATAGTCTTCCAAATCACTTACTAGCTTCTGCACTTCAGTTTTTTTACGCATTTAGTTTTTACAACTAATTAGTATTATGTTAAATGCTATGTGATTTCAGTAACCTTACCATTCAATTACAAACAAATTTATTTGTCTGTATTAATCTTAGATTTATCTTTATGATCCTTTTATCAAAACTATTTCATGTCTCACTTTTAGAAGATTTGTTTATTTATGATCTTCAAAGTGTTTTGGAAATTTAACCTGTAATACAAAGTTAGATTAAACAACAAAAATCTTGGGAATATTAACTACACCTGAGTTGATGGTTTCCAGAATTAAGGAAATCTTTAAAAATTTTGTTCTTCAGAGCTTTTCGTAACATTTTGAAAGTGTTCACCATGTGAACAATGAAAATAGTTTTCCGTGAATCGGTAAAAATGAAAAAATAAGTGATGTTTCAGTAATAATATATGTTTGTCTAGTTAGTCTTAAATAGCGTAGATAGATAGATTGATAATTAGACTGCATCACATTTCCAAAGTCTTTGCAGTGAAAAAACACACACTTCACATGTGAACATATTAGTTCTTAGAAATTAAATATTTCCAACATTCTGAAAAAACTTAAGAGAAGGGTAGTAATAGTAGTGACATTATCTTAAAATAAAACCTCAGTCGGTTTTAATTTAAGGTTTTATTGTCATAGATAATAAACCAAACTTACGTTATTTTACATGCCCGTCCACTGCGGTGTTTATTTAATGAATTTGCTGAGAAATGTTTATCTGAAACAGAAAGTGTCTTCGTTAGATCTGGAGCCACGTACAGAGATACAATTTTCCTTTTATGCACCACTGTTGAAGTGTAAGACCTTTACGTCGATTGATGAATTTTTCTGCTTTTGTTTTGGAGTGTAACAAACTTGTGTCAATGAGGTAAACTACCTGAAACAATAGTCACTGAAATGCTCAAGGGCAATCAGTATTTTTTTACACAATTTGATTCACCGAGAAATCTTTATTATTTATTATAGAAGACAATATAAGTTCTTTATCACTGTATGTAGTATTTTGTTTCATTTCAATTTATAGAGTAATAAAAAAAGTTTAGGTTACGACAAAAATTTTTGCGTCACCATCCTGGACAAAGAGTATATAAAAATACTTATAGCCCAAGGGTGTTAAATCGGCACCGAAGTAACATATTACAGGCAATTAAAACCAGTATTTAATTTTATGAATCAATTTATTTCAAACTATGCCGTACACACAATTTATTACACAGTGGGGATAAAAGGAGTTTGTACCTCTGTATGTGGCACCTGTTCTCGCAAAAAACATTCGTATTTAAAAATATACTTACTTCTTGATCGAGATGTGAAGATCGCGGAGGACACGGTTAATCAACTCCCACCCTGTTCTAGTCCGTGTTGTGCCCTAGACGGTCGGCTCCTCTAGGTATTTTTCTACAGAAGTCTAACGTCCATTAACGCAAAGTGTTGTGTGCTCCTATAACATTTGCGAAGCGGTTGAGACTTTGGAGACTTCGATCGGTAACGAAGCGGTGAGGTGGCCGGCCGATGAAATCCAGACTGCCATTGGACGAAATTCGCCGAAGAAGAATTGGTGCTGGCGTTGAGAACAACAGCCCTCTACGACTCGCCGAATGAACAGTTGGTAATTGTGCTGCGAAGCGGAAAGAACAACCTTCTATCAACATAAGAGGAAAGATCTCTTTCCCCTATGCTCGAAACAACGTTGCGCCATGCAAAGAATTGGCGAGCAAGACCAACAAGCCTGCGTTTCGTGCCTTTGTGAGCATTATTTTCGATTACGTATGTTTTGGTTACATTCGTAGCTAGTTTCGATGCTAGTTTCAGCATGGTTTTTTATTTTTCGTGGATTACAGTTTTATTCGGAGTGGTGGATCATTTTCGTCGGGCGTTTGTTTTAGCGTGATTTTCGTCGTTTTCGGCGATTTTTCGTCGTAAATATTTGCGTTGGAGGCTGGTTTTAGCATGGTTTTCAATTTATCGTAGTTCGCAGTTTTATTAGAACTGCTTAATTTTTATTGGACGTTTGCTTTAGCGTGGTTTTCGAAGTTTTGTCGTGTTTGTAGCTATCAATTTGCGTTTGTATGTGTACGATTTTCGATATTTAAGGGAGTGCTGAAACACTTGTGACCTTTTATTTTATTGCGTTTGGGAGAGAGGCTGTTTTCAAGTTCTGTTTAATTTATTTTTTGTAGTCTACCTTTATTCGTTCTATACAAGCCCAACTTCTCTAGAAAACCTGACCTTGACCTTAGAAATCCTATAAACGTTTCAAGAACCATGATGGGGCCAAAAGTGGCCAGTACAGGTAAATTGGGGGGGAGGCTTCTCTACACTTCCCATGGAGTATTTACTAGAAGTTACTGTTGTGTCATAAGAAACGGAAAATGCTATTTAAAATACCAAAATACTCCGAACTTATAACATTACTATTAATTGAACTTTACTTTCTTTAATTAATAACTTGCTAGTAAACTAAATTATCTTTAACACCTTTTTAAAATGTCAACTATTGGCAATATTTGTTCAGCTCATTTAACTTTAAACGTTACTACTTCATGTGAAATAAAAACAAAATACAGCATTTACTTCAGAAAATTATAATTTAATATGTCAACGCTTAATTACTTAAAAATGGCAATATCTCCTCCATGGGAAAGTGCAGAGTTCCCCATATCTCGTGGGCACAACACGTTTATTAACAACTACCCACTAATGCTAAGGAGCGGAGCCAGTGGTCATACGCACAGGAGGTACCCACCCTTCTGATTTCGGTGTGCTGCGCAGGCGAGGAGGTAGCAACGCTTGCACGCCGCATCTCAAACATCAACATCACTAAACAATGCAATACTACTCTATCATAGCAACTTAATGAGACTTCAACATTCGCTGCTATTATTCGTTTTGTGAACGGCAGAGATTTACCACTGTTCCTACGTGAGCGGCCTGTAACAACGACGGCAACGACAATAACGGACGACAACTGCATGGGAAGTGTGAGAGCGCAAAACGAGATACGGATCCCCCACCACCCACCCACTCATATCTCGCAAGTAAGCGAACGACTCCGACATCTTGACTCTTTGCGCTTAGTGGGTCATTTGGGAATCTCACATTTACCGACAAATACAAACTCGTCAAAAACAACAACAAAACAAACAAAGAGGTTAAAAAGAAAAGTAGAAGAAGTATTGGAGAAGAGGAAAAAAACAAAACAAACAACGCTAAAAGATGCTAAACCTAAGAGCAGCTCCGTTCGATGTCCTGTTTTATACACTTTCATTATATCATTACTGACTCCGCAAAATTATTTTGATATCAGGGTCAATATCTGAACAATGCGGAAGGCATACTACTGATATTAAAACTACTTTACATCGCTTGAAGCGAACTAAATCTACACTTCAGTTACCTATTTCTACTGATGTTGCTGAGGCATTCTAAAAGCTGAAAAGATATACTTATGAAGCACTTAATTTTGCTGTGGCATACTACTCAATATTATATAATTCATTCAATCCCTATCAGCGCAGCCGTGCATTTGCCGCCCCTTGGCCCTCGCCTACGGTGTCGTGTCCCGCCTCCTGGCGTAGCCGGGCCGGCACCCCTCAGGGGGGCACCGGGGGGGGGGCATGGGATGGGAGTGGGAGGGGAGGCTCCGCCCAAACCTCGTTGAGAGAGAGAGCTGGTGGGTCCAGCGCCGCACCCACTCGAGAGGCGGGTTTAACCCCCGCTCCGCCCAGCCTCGGGCTTGCGTGGGGGTCGCGACGGACAGACCGCAGACCTTTAGCACAGGGACTCTTGAGGAGGCGTAGGTCAGTCTTGCGCGTGCCCGCCGCCGCCCACGCTCGGAATGTTTACCCTGGCCTGCGGACACGAAGGATGCCGTTAGATGGCTTAACCCTACGCAAACACCGCACACGTTCACTAACACACTAATTCACTTTTTGTACAAGGTCGGAAAGATTAAACTAGCTTGCGAACAAGCAACCAACCATTCAGTGCACAAACCCCACACACATCTCATTGCAAATCTGATAATTCATGAAATTATTTTGAAATATTGTATTTTTACTGATACGTTAGAACTCATGACTTTCGCTTTGGAGCTTGATGTACTATATCTATGGTATTTCTTATCAAAATGCTCATTTCTATGTGCATCCAGAATTCAACTTGTATACTATGGGTTAATTTGGGGATCTCAGGTTTTAAGAAAATGTGCACAAGAAAACATTTCTCACCATAGTACTTCTCAATTTTTAACCATTTTTGACGTCAAATAAAACAATAATTTAATTTTGTATTTAAATGTTTGTCGTCAAATTCAACAGATTAAGATTCACAAATTTTCATTGTTCTTCACTTCAGTACTTACTAAATTCTCAAAGTTTATGTATTTGAATTTATAACAATTCATGTTATCGTGCCAGAGAATAGTAGGCCCAAGTTTCATTGAAAAAGTTGGTATGAACATTTTGTGCATGCGAATAAATATTCAAATAATCTTAAATTCTTACGAGTACAGCTGTTTTCGCGGGCCCACAATTTCAATAAATATGAAAAATATATTTGGGGGCAGCCGACTGCTCATGGTAACAATGACACATAATATTTTTCACGGAATAAAAAATTAGCTTTTTCTTCCATGTTCAAATTCCGAGTTGGAAGCTAGAGCTCCGCTTTCAAAGTACTCGCTGGCCCTCCGCAGCTGTGTCAGAGGCCTTGCTCGTTGCAGCAAGGGCAGAGTAGGATTGCGCAAGACGCAGCAGTTTTACAGCTACTCCCGTGTCTAAAATGTATACCTTTTATATTGTACTCGACCTTAAGTCAAATATACTGTAAAAATGCTAATACTACCAGGAACGTGTGTTTCATTGGAGTGAAATGCATCCGATCTCTTAACTATTCTCTCTAATAGAACTATTAAAATTATTCATGTAGTTTAAAAAATCACAATTTATAATATACTTCGCAATAGGTCGAATAAATTCGATGTGAAAATGCCAAAGATTGTTCATACTACTAGAGACAAGTGCGCTGAAATATACCTGACCTTTTAACTATCCTCATACAACAATGGTTATTAAAGAGTTGTAAGTTTAAAACTAAGTTGCGCCACTGAATGAATTTGAGTGGAATAGAAAAAGATTTGATTTTCGCGAAAAATAGGTGCTTACGAGATAAGCCGGAGAGACTAGTGTATATCGCATATCGTGCGAAGTTAATTTTCATCAAACTATTGCATGCCGAAAAAACGCCCTAGAAAGCAAGTCACATGCTTGTGATTTCGTACGTACCCGCAACCGCCAGCACAGAGCCTTGAGTGAACGCTGGTGATGGTGAGTCAGCTCTAGAAAAGCCATTCATTAGTTGTGCTCCGACCCACTTCTCCGTGAAATACTCCATATTCCACATTTCTCGCATTTTAGCTTTTCTTGCAGATATCAAGCTTTTGGAAGTCCTGAAACAAAGTGAAAACCATTAAAACGATGTCAAAATTGCTCAAACGAGTATCACAATACAGTTTGTAGCATTGTTAATGTTCCCAGCAACAACTAGGTATACGTAAAAACAGGAAACATTTGACACGAAAAGAATATTTCTCGAAATACTGAAATTATGAATTGCGAAAACTGCAAACAATTGTCTCAAAGTTTTAAGTTTACCTATAGTATTTTCTCTGCTAGAACATTGTCAACGAAAGAACATGGATAAAAATGTGCTGCAAATTTCATAAGCATTAAATAAATGTTAATAAACTAAGTTTCCATCGTAGGAATTAAAAGGGAGAAATAATTAACGTTTACCAGTTTTCTAAAAACAAACAATCTCAAAACATAAAAGTATCTCTAAACTTTTTGAAGTTGAATTTGCCTTATTTTACGTACGTTCACGGTCAAAGGACAAAGCGACGTGACAATTACGATACTCGTAGTAATTTCTTCGCAATTGTTCATGGGCAGACTGCGCCAAGGCAGTGATAATTCTTGACCTCTCCCTTATTAATAATCATTTGATCCGTTAATGCAAAGAAACACTACAGCATATTAAAATATCACAGCAACCACCTGTCACTGTAGGATGTACTAGTTTGTAAAATACGACCTGATAAAGCTTTGTGAACAGATGTGATAAAAAAAGCTACCTATCAATGCAATTTTATCATCGCCAAGTTATCGAAAAAAGTTATACAATTCTGTAAAATGTTAACTTTTAAGTAACAAGGAAAGAAACGAACAGAATAAATTTGAGACCCATTAAAATTAATGTTTTCGAACAGAATTTTACTTTTTCAACATCTGTTCAATATAATAAAGAATGTTTGTAATTTATTTTCAAAGATCGTTTCAATTTCGTTGGTAACAGGAGGAAAGTTTTGGCGACTTATTGGCCAAAACTCCACCTGTTACTGAAATTTCGCTTAAAAATATTTTCTTGAAATATTTTAAACACAATTATATTTTATACGAATTATCCGTTTTTCTGCATCTTTCTTGTGTTTTAAGTATTACTCGATTTCGTGTTTAGATATAAAGAAGAAAACTACCAACATTTGAAGCAAAAGAACTGAAATATTTGCTATTCCAAACAAGGTTTTCGCTTGGAAAATTTATGTAGGATATTGCACTATTTAAACGAGTATACGTTGCAGAAAAAGACGTATAAAATGAAGTTCATTTTGATATTGGTCCAATTAAATTTAACTTCACGAAGTAAGGGACTACATTCGAAATATATATTAAGCAGATATTTACTTTTATAGCAGTAATACAAAACTTCGAAATATGAAAATAAAAGACACGGGAGTAATCTGATTTACGACCTATGATGTCAGGGAGTAGATCTATTGAACCAGCAAAAAGTAGATCATTGGTCTATTTAAAGGTCATTATCTTTTGTCAAATAATTATGAATTTCTTTGCACCATTTTCCAATTTATTCCTACTAGTAGAAGTAATGAAATGGTTGTGGCAAATCCATTGAAAAATATTTTTGCTGGATATCTTTTCTCTTTGGATATTAGCTTTTTTCAACCGAAAACACACCTCATTACTTTCTACAAAATGTATATCCAAGCAATTATCTGTATGTTCTAGATTTACTAGACATGAGAGTAGTGAATTAGTTATTTTATTCTCAGTAATAATTTTGACAATTTCCATCACCAAACCAGGTTAATATATCATTTAAACGTGTGCCTATGTGAAGGATTTCTATTAAACGCGAGAAAATTTTGTTATATAATTTTATCAAAACCTCTTGTTGCTATTTATATTTCATATTCCCACTATGCATGCTAAAAGAGAGAAGGCAGGATTTCGAAACACAAAAACACTTTCCAAAAACTCACCTTAATACTGGCTTAGCACGACCTCTCACCACCACAGCATTCACAGGAATGGCGAGGGGCAGATTTTCCCGCCAGAAGAAGACCAAAGAGTATATTTCAGAGACAGCACTCAATGTTAAAAGGAAAAGCCTTATTTGCCCAACTTCCGGTGCCGCCACATTGTTCCGTATAATTTCTATTGGGTAAACGGACAGCCATTAGCGGAGAAGTAACCGGTAAATTTGAAATAAACCAGCAACGCGGGAACTTTAAAATTTCACTCCCATACTTTCCACGCCTTAATTTATTAAAAAATTCACAATAATAATTATACGGATTTTATGGAAGAAAAAAGTCAACTTAGGGTAGTGAAATCCAGTATTTATTGAGCATATTGATATTATACAATTTCGTGATTTCATTAGTAATAACAATTTTGTATTATAGAAGGTAATAAACAGTACACCTGCGCAATTAAAACTTTAGTATTTGCTTGTAGATAAGCCAAATTAAAGCGAATACTATGGAATACTACATTATTACATGCATTATGAATGAACAATATGAACAGAATTGAAAAGAAACAAATGAAAATACTACCGCACAATTGCCCAGGAAAAACGAATAGTTATGATACAAGGGGTGAAAGTGCTATTTTATTTTGTGCATAGAAAAGGTAGTGCCACTAGGCCAAAAACTCAGGTGCCCCATTTCTATAAGCAAAATAAAATGACTTTCACAGTGCTTTTTTCAGTGGTATTACTGCCTTTCATTTTATTTTAATCCAAAAATACGAAATACGAATTATATACTGTTTCATTATGATCAGTAGTATCTGATTAGGTCACATGAACGTATTTTGTTTTCTTGGTTGCTTTCAAAGTTTTATCAGAGCATTTGAGAATTGTCTCACTTTTAGCAGTAGTGCAAAAAATTGAGCTTTTAGCATGCTCTGCATGCCTTGAAAGAACCACTTTTACTAGTTGCAACCTAAAAATGTATTTTATTAGTCGATAAATATTTGACAAAATTATTTTATTTACCCATGCTAATTTCACACATGCACAGTTCAGAGCCTGTTTTTTAAAATGGGATCCACTGTGAAAGTACATTCACTTTTAAAACAATGATTTAGAAATAGTTGAATTCCATCAATGCTTATGCATCACAATTTAATTCTGAAAATGGTTTGTCACAGTGCAAATATTTGATTGCACCAGGAGCCAAGCCTGGGACCTTCTGATAACTGGGCAGATGTTTTAATAACTGAGCTATGGAATCAAGCATTGCATTCACGACTCATAACAATTCACAATCTAATAAGGATCAGCATTCAAATCCAGAATGTATTTGGCATGAGGATGAACAAAACACAATAATACACACATAGAATATAAATTGAATCAAGGTTGTGTTTGTCATGAGAAACCATTATTGTCAGAACAGTATAAAAATACATAAGCAACTTATATCAATACTAATAATAAACATTAATACTAATACGAAAGAACAAAATTATAGACCAGATAATAAGCACTAAAGGAATTCTAAAATTGCACGAAAATATCCTCTGAAACAGAAATTCAAAACCTTTGTATTCATAATATTCAAATAAATGTCTTAACGTAGCAAGAGACATTCCAAAATTGAGAAAATGATCATGCTTTACAAAATTAATTTTATCTTTAAATTTAATTTAATTAGATCTTTCCAAATCAAATGTGGGAAATACAGTTTATCTAAAGGATCTATATCCAATAACAGAATACACACTGATTTTAAAAGTCTCGTTGTTCGTACCATTACAAACTGTCAGCATAAAAGAGATGTGTACAGAAACTTTTGCAAAATGAAGCAAGTCATTCTCTGCTCATAACAATAATTCTTTAAAATTATCTCTCCGAGTTCTGACTGCTCAAAGAGAATATTAATTTAAAGCCACTTAGGGTTAAACTCGTAGGGTATAATATGCATGCTTCAGAATCCATCCCTGGAAAAGGATCTGAAAACAAAAAAATGCCATTAAGAAAGATACAATGTACTCAAATGAACGTTCTGAAAACAAATCTGTATAAAAAAGAGGTTTCTTTTAATTCACCATCTATAATTACATAATTAGAAAGCACAGGAATATCTTGCACTTACCAAACACCAAAGTCGAAGATTCATCTCCCAGAATGGCTTCTTGCACCTGTTTAGAAGTACAAGGATCTGTGATCACACCCTAAAAAAGTTTTTTTTTACTATAATTTACCCTCAATTGGCACTAATAAATTTATATTGAAAGGAACAAACCATGAGCAACATCCATAAAAACTTGAGGCGACATCTCACATGGGTGAAAAAGATCTGAAAATGGAGACAAACTTGAAATCTATCCCATCTTTAATAAATGCAACAAAGTAATAATTGAGATTCTTAAATATTATAGCAAATATTTACATTTTACAAGGCTAGTATAAGCATCTTCTGCACTTGCTGTAGCAGCATCTTCAACTGCACAAGAGTCTGTATTAATCAACAACAAATTATTACCAATATGCTTTTAATAGCATGCTCCTTTTTGCATTTTACAAACATACAAGAGTCTTACCATTTTCAGTTTGAAAAGCTGCCTGTGTACAAGGATATGAAAATTAAAAATTGCTGGTAACAGAGACTCCCATCAAACTATATATTCTACTAAACCTATAAAAATATATTTTATTAAAACTTTATAATGTACTAATATTTTATTGAAAAAGTCCTACCAATTACACCCATTGCTATAGTGGATGTCACCTCGGTTAGTCCGAACAAGGGGTCTGCAAATGAACACGAATATTACAAAAATTCCACAATTTGCAATTGAATTATTTGAATGCAATTTAAAGCAAAAACTTACCATGAATATTGGCAGCAAATGTACTAGGCACACTTGCTGTAGTGAACCATTCACTGGCATTAGTTTCTGTAAACAAAAATGAATTATCACCCTACACTTTTAGTAGCATTGTTCTATATAAATTTTAAAATGAAATAGAAATTTACCATCTACAGTGTAGCCTGGATTTAGAACAAACTACATGCATAAAAATGAAAGATAAAATAAATGTAACTCACTTTTTCACATTTCTTGGGAACCCAAAGAAACGTTGTAATTGCTAATTTCGCTTTTGCATTTTTACAGTTAGGCACCCAGCATCTTCTCGAAGCCATAATGCACGCTTCAGGCTGCAAATAGCAGTAAATCACTTTATTTCTCTAACTCACTGACTGCGATATGTCGTTAACGGCCCTACGAACAGCTCGTGAATATACAACCATAGGTCGATGAGGAAGGAATCCAACGATAACCAACCGGCTCGTTTACGAAAAATTTCAAAATGAATAAGTAGTTCACCGATTCTCCGCGTGAGCGAGTTAGTGTTGTACAGATGTATATGTCGTCGCTCTGAACTCTGATTGGCTACCGTATGGAATTTGAATAAGGACCGGATGTGACCTATCTAGTGTCACACCACTGGAAGAAGACAAGGTTTCAACCCGATTTTTCTCGATTCTATGCAATCGCAGCGTCACACGAAATAGAGCGATGGAGCGCGCGGCAAATTCAATTTTTTCTTTTTAATTAATTTGACAGGGTTGGACAAAATACTTAAAATTTTTGTATTTGAATACTTCTCCAAAATAGTTTCTAAATAAGTATTCAAACACATACACAAAATACATTAGGTTTTGTAAAAAATACATAATATTTAAAATACTAAAAAAAAGGAAATAAAATTGAATTATGTTTTTATTGCAACAATATTCTTTAATTCTCAAATACAATAAATTACAATTGACAATTATACAAGTTTCCAAACAATAACTAACTATTCTATTCGTATATATGTATTCTTAATGTAATGAGAAAATAATTTACGATAGTAAACCAAAAGAATAATAAAAACTTTGGCATCAAAATAAAAATAAGATACATAAATTTTGTTTTTTAAAGTATTTTAAATAATTATTTTTTAAATGCATATTTTCATGTATTTAAATACATCTCTAAAATGCATGTCCAAAATACACTTTTTCAAATACAAAATGTATTTAAAATACGTATTTCAAATACAAGTACTTATAGTGTTCCAAACCCTTTCAACAGGGAGCATAATATTCTTTGTTTTAAAGAGAAAAACGATTTTCACGACTATGATGAAGGCAAGTGGGGGATTGAGAAATGTAAGTTATCTCAATATTTTTGTTTTGTTAGTGTTTTGTTAATATAGGTTAATTGTGGTTATATTTATGTTTAAAGAAAACCCCTACTCAAAGGAATATAAAAACTTTATAAATATTATACCTAAGTAACTCTCTGAGTTTTAGAAAATTGCAAAGCTAGAATGTATTTATATGATGCCTTGTTTCATCTCTAGTTTGATATTTGAAGTATGCAAATAACTTTTATACCCTGATGCCGTATATATTTTACTATGCTATTGCAGTTCTTCTAAAGATTGTTTTGATCAAATGTTTAACATGGAGAGTTATAGTATGATAGTATTTTATTCCTTGAACTTTGCTTTAGTCTGTTTCTTAGAGCAGCTCATTTGGAACAGAACTTCGTGTGATTTGTTCAACTTCGCTGCATCAACAAATATTACATCAGCACTACTACAATAAGTTGAATGCACTCTACATCTTTAGTTCCACCTGGCTTAGGCCGGGCATCAACGCATGACACGGTACTGCCTTCAACCATAGGTCGTCCTGGTCAGAGTCCCGATGCTAGCAGAATTTTCGACGTCAACTAGATTTCTAATTCAAAATCTGTCGCTGTCGCTGTCTAGCGACCGGCTGCTCTGATCGGTAGTTTTTCGTAGTTTCTACAATCAACACCAAGCGAATGCCGGAGCAGTACCTTAACAAACGGACCGCCTGATGGAGAGAGATACCTGGCGAGGAAATCCCTCATGTCGACGGGTAGCTCAGCGCCAAACGTCGCCATCCAGTGTGGAGAGGATCACCGGGACCTCTCGCGGTAAAAAAAACTACAGTACACTTTCAGCGCTAATGACCATAGTAGCCGAGGCTCCAGGAAACACAAATCGGCCCTCACATGGAAAACTCTAGTTGTTGCACCTTGTAAACGAAATGTAAATTAATATGAAAGAGGATATCTCCGGCGCATGCGCGAGACCACTTCTGGCCCTCCTCGCACCCTCCCACTCAGCCGTCGCTCGCATGCATTTGGCGACGATGATGAGAATCAATGCTTACTTTCTCGCTACCGAGTGAAGATAAAGTTATGTAATGCTGCGCGGAAAACAGAGAATTTTTGGCAGAAAAACTCTTATTACAGGGCCCTTGAAACGAAAAAGTTGATAAATGCAGCTAAATTTAGAAAAAATAATTCTCTAACACATGGTCTAGCCAGAATCTATGTTTTGTTGTTACTTGATACCGAAAAATCAAATGACGGCAAAACATCTTCTGTCTGTTCGTCCGTCCGTCCGTCCGTCCGTCCGTCTATGAAGAACGCTAGTACTTAAACCTTTGAGCCGATTTTCTCCAAAATTGATGTTTCCCAACTGCTCTAGCTGATTGCGCGACTTCTTTAATTTGAATCCGATATTTTCATTTTGGGGGCATTTTACATGAAGCCCCAGGGACAGTTTCCAAAATTTGAAAAAAAAATTGCATTGATTTTTTATTAAATTTTGTTGTTGGATAGTGTGATAAAATGGTGTAAGTCTCATTTTCGTTGAAAACACTGATTTGCTGAAAATTCCATAAGTTAAACATATTTTCGGAGTCTAAAATATTAAAGGTGGAGGTTTTTTCTCTTAATGATATCTGTTCCTTAAAGATTGATTTTGAAATAAGATCATGTATAATTATTCGGCAATTTAAGTACTTTCGCGTAATTTGGCATGCAATTACGGGCAAAAAGTACGTACTGTTTAGTACCACTAGTTTATGATGCGAATATCGGCCAATATCTTTACTCGCTATGAAACAGCATTTTCGTCTATATTCATTGCTCAGACAAAGGCCTTGAATCGTGAACTGCAAGGTGATATGATGATGGTGAGGGGATAAGGAACAATAACTAATACGTATATGTCTACGAAGGGTTCGAACCTGAAGCGCCCTCAGCGCAGATGAGGGCTGCTGCAACCGGCCGCGCCATTCATTTATTTATTAGGTGCATCCACGTGACGTGCGGAAATACTGTTCGGGATCTCAAATTGCCCTTTCCAGAACAATTAATTACAAGTTCATTTGCCATGACCTACTGTGATTAACAGAGCACACGATGTAGAATTTGTAGTATAAACTAAACGTTTTGCCAATAATGTAAATAATTTACCAATTATTGAATTAGAATCATTTAAATTGCGTTTGGAAACTCAAGGAATTGGAATGTTAAAACACATTATACTTGCAAGTACAAACAGGCATCTCAATCCTGCTACTAAAGTAATATATCAGATCTATCTTTAACTTTCCCGCATATTGCTTACACGGTATAGACACAATATTGTAAAACTGCGGAAAAAAACTGGCGATTTTTGACAAATGAACTCTTATTGCCGGACCATGCTAACAAAACTAGAGATGTAAGAACAGCACATACTTTTTCGCATTATTTCTAAGTGCTCAGCGATGCCTGCACTACTACCTAAACGTGCAAAAATGTTTTTAGCCAGAAAAAATTATTTTCCGCACCGAGAGTCGAACTAGGTCTTCCAAGGTAACTCGCCATACCACTTAAACATGCAATTTTTGTAATTTCTCCGAGAATATGGAGAGTTTGGCAAAAATGTGGATTTCACCAAATTTTAAACGCCTGTTCTTACATACATTGAGAAAACTTAATTTTTTTAGAAAATATAATTGTTAGAAATTGCCCAAATTTCTTGGACGAATTACGCAAAATACTTTACGCCACTCGTTTGTTTCAAAAATGTACATGAACTTTTTTAAAGGCAAAGTAGTACATTTGTTACATTCTAGGAAAAGTAATAAACAAAGAATGTGCTACTGAATGATTTTCTCCCACTAGTTACTTTCCTTATTCTTCAGCCTGAGCTGCCTTGTATTACTTTGCATCAACGTCTTCTCAGATATCATCTATTAGGGTAAGTTTTTGAGTTTTCTTCGTTTATCTTATCCATAATGGTACAACTGAAATAAGACTTTAAGAGTATTATAGAAGTGTAAAATGTGGTCGCATTCCCAAATTTTCATTGAAAAATGTGTAGCCATTTTTTTTGAAAATTTTGAAAATGTTTTTCAGATTTCATGTAAATTAGACTTAGAAATAAAAATATCTGGTTGAAACTCCCAAAGCATCGAGTTCATTCGGTTGGTAATACATTTTGAAGAAAATCGTCTGAACGATTAAGACGATAGCGCGGACTACAGACTGACAGAGGAACGGACACACAGACAGACGCCGTCGATCTGCAATCAATGTTCCGGTATTAAGGATCCACAAAACGTGAATTTCAACTACATATGTTAGGGGAAGTAATTCTCTAAATAAAGAATAGGATTTTTCCAATTTTTCAATACCAGGATCCAAAAATAAGAATTTGTCTGCCAATTCTCTGTTTTGTGGCCCACGACTACATACCTCTCTCTTCTTACAAAATAAGTGCGAGAAACGTAAACTGAAGATAAAAAGAAACTCGGTTGAATTAGAAGAATCCTAAAAATTGAATTCGTTAATTTGTGTTCCTAAGTCAATGCAAGTCACTCGGTTATTAGAAAAAATATTAATTCCATAATTATATATTGAAGAAATAATTATATGAGTCGTCATTGCCAACAATATTGTTTTTTGTTGGCAATAACGACTCATAATTATTTCATTGTAAATGCGAACAAAAATTCGCCACAATTGCAATATATTGAAGTCTTACTTACGATGAGTTTGTGAATGAGAAAGATAATGTTAACGTGATATTTAAC